CAGTGGGTACACGATGGCAACTATGGTTAACAGAAAGCAAATCGGCAAATATTTGCTCGAGAAGTACGCGAGATGCTGACAGAGATCTTGATGAACTTCGAAAATTATCCGCCAATAGCTTATAATTGACCAGTTTAAACTCAATTAACCTTACCTTGCGAGTTTAATATTAAATTCCTCAAAATTTATTCAATAAAAAGCAAAATCACTAATTCTATTCATGTATCTATCTATTTCTTCTCTAAGACTAATATTTCGTTAAACACATTCACTTAGAAATTTCAATTTCATACACATAGTTGAAGATTAACCAATAGATTTTTATCAATGCTTTATTTTAAAAAAATCACTCAAATAGTGTACTTCGTATAATATTATTACTAATTATTATTAATACGACAATCTTAATTCAAAACATCCGATAGTAGCAATTGTAACGAACTTGAGGCGATAAATACCTGTGACATAGTAACACTCGCTTGATTTGGCTTCTTCATGCAACAAACTCTCGTTCACATACAGAACATACACTTATATAGAAAGAATAGAATAATGAATATCGGTTAAGTATAGCGGTCTCATCAGAAGAGAAGGGTAACAGATGATATGGAGGCCAAGAGATAGATGAAGATGATATATCTCGTTACAGCAATATATTGATAAATGATAATTTCTTTCAGTATATAATACAATTTTTTAATCAATCACTAGATCTTAAAACAAAAAAAAATATAGTTCAAATGTTGCTTTATTTGTAATGTGATAACCTCTGTTGCAAAAGTCTTTAGACAAATTTATTTCATTTATTTATTTCAAACAACAAGTTTTCATTTTTTGTTTTTTATATGATAAGAAAGCACTAATGCTAATGTACAGAAAATCAGAAAGAACAAGCTCCATAAGGTCCATTATCAGCAATTCGACGAAGTTGTATTCGTATATCCGAAAACATAGTCTGTACAACTTTAATATCAAGTTCATTTATTTTTTTCGAAATTCTTCTTCTTAATGCATTGATGTTTTTTGCTTGCCAACCACCGGCATATACCATTTGTTCAAGAATTGACCAGAGTGTTTCAATAGGTCGAGCTTGAGGACAGTTCTGTGGATTCTTTTGTTGAGGTACAAAATGTATACTATTTTCGTCCAAATATTCGATTACTTTAAGACCATAATGACTTCTAGCCAAATCAGGCCAAAATAATACTTTCTTCTTATTATGATATTTTTCGATAAATGGCACTAAACGGGCTTTAGTACATTCATTTAAGTATGTCTTTTGAGTAACAGCTTGTTGTTGTTTGGAGAAGAATGGTGTTGAGATACCTTTTTCGGATATAGCAATCCAGACTAAAATTTTTAGTTCGAATTTCTGTGTACGTTTGAATTTTACTTCTGGTTGTGCTGCACTTGGATCAGATGTATAAAAACCACGATTAGCAGGTATTGATTCATTATGTAATAAAAAATATTTTTCGTCGTCCATCACCAATTCAAAATTACCATTTAACAATGTTCTATATAATCGTCGAGCACGTGTTGGAACTTCTTCGAGTTGCTTGTCGGTGTATTTGGGCGCCCGTTTTTTTTTTCGATATGTTATACCCATAGCTGTTAAATGACGACTAAGTGTTGATATATTGATATCAAATTTTGGAGCAATTTGACGTAACGAAATACCAGTCTTCTGATCAGTCAAGCGTTTTAGTCGAGTTAATTTTCGTTTAGATAATTTACTAGGACGACCAGATCTGGATTTGTCGCCGACAACACCGAATTCTTCAAACTTTTTGATGATTGAATATATAGTTGGACGTGGTATTTGTTCTTGTAAAAAGTGATTTACAGTAACTTTTTTTTGACGATTGGCAACGTTCACATAGTGTTGTACGATGCGTTTTGCTTGATGTTCTCTTTCTGAACGTGTCATTTTTTTTTAAAACAAAAGTCATATGACTTATTATATATCAAATTAAAGCTCGTTTAACGCTCTATCACGTGCCGTAGAGAGAAAGAAAAAAAAATTAAATCGGCATGAGATATATATATATCAAATTTGTCTAAAGACTTTTGCAACAGAGGTTATATAGTCAATGAGAAAAGGCAAGGTAGGCATTTTAAATAAAAAATAGATATTACAGAATTAGTGGTTGCAATGTTTTTAAGAATAATTGATTGAAGATGATTGAATAGTGAATCAATGATACAATATATAAAAAAATTATTAATAATCGATTCATTATCCAAATACAACGAAAGAATACGATATCTATTTGGAATAATCAAATTTTTACAACAATGTATGAGTTCTGATGTTGTTTCCGAACGAAATTGAATTCTGAGTGAATAGGATCGATGAGTAATAAGATCGCGAAAACGGTAATTAAGATTGAAAAATGATTTATAAATGTTATAAGCATCAAGATATTCAAAAATTTCATAAAAAAGTTCATTTGACATATGTTCAATGCAAGTGATCGAGATGCTAAGAGAAATCAAATAGATATACTATTATATATTAAAATATATTATTATCTTACTTTTCTTTTGTCAATGTTACTAAAAAGAAATAAAGAGGGAAGATAATTATGTACATATATCTAATTCGAAACTTACTTCGAAATTTTTTTCTTTCAGGACTCAAAGGTTCATTGACATCTGATTGTTCTTGAATATAAGACATATTTCTTTTAGAAACAGATGTAATCGACAATGCTAGATGATAATGTTAATTTAAAAGAAAAAGGACGAACATATAGTTTGAACGTCTGACCTGACCTGACCTGACATTGTTCAATGACTGACAGATATTCTGACCTAGAGATTGTTTGACGTCAGCTTACACAGTCTAAATAGCACGGTCATTCCTGTCATAGATTCGATTCATTCAGTTTTGTACTTATTACATTTTATCGAATTTCGCGTGGATATTACCGAATAACATGATGGATGTATTATGCTGATAAACAAGATTTCGTTTTGATCTCTCTGAAGATTATTTTATCGGTTAAATATTATTTCATAAGGGTTTATTGTCATTGTATCAAAGGGAAAAATTATTATCTCGCAATGAATTTAGATGATTTTGATCTGTAGAAGGAAAACCTATTAGATTATCCATATCAAAAAACAATTGAATAATAATTATTTCGGATAAATTCGATTTTTTTCTTCGTTTTTGTGATTCCTAATTATATTTATTTTTTATATTCTTCTTGTTCAATAGTGAACTTTGCATCGAAAAATATTATAATATAGAATTAAAATCATTTCACACATGTACATCTCATGCGAAGCATAATTCCGACAATCAATTTTAACACATTGACCAAGTATCGTTAAAAACAAGATTTTATCAACAACTAACGGAAGTATCCGGCGTTACCCGGGAAATTTCAATCTTAATAAATGCAAGCAAAACTCCTGTTGTGCTCGAGAACATCTAAACAAACCTAATCAGTCAACAGTAGACAAGCATAAAATCCTATTTTTTTGTCTCGATCTTGGTTCTGGCTCTTGGGTGTATTTTGAGCCCCGGTTCTGGCTGCTCTTGCTCTCAGCGGCTATGAAATACTGACATTAAAGAATTGATCAGAAGCGAAGGATTCTTCGTCCTTACACGTCTAGATACAGAAGAGCTTGATGAAACTTATGAGTTCTATCGATTTTTTATCTTAGTCAAGCATTTATAAGAGTACATACTTGTCCCGGTCATCAACGATTTGAACTGACCCCAATCGTGTTTCGTCACGTTCCCGATTCCGGAGCTACTTAGTTATGTTTCCAGTAGGGAAGCTACATGGACAATCGATTCTTCCATCGCGTCGCAAGAAAAATCCGTTTTGATTGATACTAAATACAACGATATATCTAATTAATCTACAATGTCGCTTCACAATACCCATTGATCGGGAGAATTACGACGGTACATCGTACTTTGTATTACTGGAATCACACTGAATTCCGATTGAGCTCAATAGGCTTCCGATTCCTAATGTCCTTCTTCCGATCATCCAATGATATTCGTTTTCCCAAAAACTCGATTCGTATTGGTTTCGGACCACTCCTCCTGGATGAGAGGATGGTCCCTGAAAGGTTTGGTCGCATTTGCTCGCACCGTATCCAAACACATAAAGAACAGTCAAACAAACTTTCTTCATCATATTTACAGATTTCCGCCAAATTTCAAAAACTGGGAGAAAACATTCCTCACTCGACCCCCGGCCGCGCTAGCTCCCTCTCGATCCTCCTCTGGACCTGGGAAAGTACTATGGAAAGTTTGGTAACGCCAGCTATTACAGGGACTGAATGTATAGCGAACAGACAGACAAACATTCTTCTTTATATATATAGATAGATAATAGATTATAGTTAAAACACTCAGTCAAAAATATCAATTAATTATTTTATTTAATGACTTTATTTTATTCTATCCTTAATATTTCTCATAAAAATTAATGTAATACCTCTAATTAATAATATCTATTTTTATTATTTAAAAATTAAAAAATGTGAATAGTAGAGAATATGTCTTTACAACAATCTTGTCTATCATGCAATTTAAACAAACATCAAAGTCGAAATTTAATGTGTCAAAAATCACAATCAGATTAAAACATAATATCATGTCGATTCAATTAATAATCAAGTGCTCTACAAAAATTTTAATATATAGTAAAAATGATTTAACTAGAATATCTATATTGTGAATATATTCTTTTCTAAAGATTTATTTTGAATACGTAAAAGAACAAGGGAAAAATTATGCACGTTTCAATAAACAATGTTGTTTTTTGAAAAATGAAAATAATTAGAGTGAAAAATTAATCATTACACTTATTTTCATTTTCTCATTTAGAATAAATTATATTTATGTGTATTTCCTGTTTTTTAATAATTGTTTATTCTGGTCAACAATGTTTTTTTTTCAGCAACAATATTTGTGATAATAGAAGACTGTGCGATCTATTACTTTTTGTTATACACTTTATAATACTGGTGTCTTGAAAGTCACCTACCCAAAACAAATTTGAATATCTCCCTTACAGCTCGAGCAAACGAGCTGATTTTTTATCGATTCAAGAGGTATGTTCAAAGTTTATACCCATAAAGACATTCCTAGGGAGACCATTTGTTAAGTATCACTTTTGACCTCAGCAAAAAAAATGTTGCTTTTTCACAGATAGGAAAAAACCAATGTAGCTAACAAAGGATCTCTCTAAGCATGTCTTTATGAATATAGAGCTTAAACGTACCTCTATCATTGAGAAAAAAATCAACTCGTTCGCTCCAGCCGTAAGGGAAATATACAAATTTTTTTTTTGGTAAGTGACTTTCCAGACACCCTGTATAATAATGTTTTTATATTCATTCTAATTCATAGTGACACTTTAATGTATTTTATATAATATACAAATAGAAATTCGTTCCGAAAGTTAACTGTATAATAAAGAGTTAGAGATTATTCAAAACGTCTGTCGATTTTACTCGATTGCTATGGTCTCCTTATATTTTATTTTTCGGCGATAGTTTTTGAGTATAATATTGTTTCAAGTTTTTAAACACATTACAAAAATCAAATCTTTACTTATAGAAAAATTAATTTATTAAGATGGTTGTTCTACATATTTTACTGATGATAAAACAAATTCACATTTGATGAATGCAGAAATTATTTTTGGAGAATGGAGAAAAGAATAATGTTCATTGCAAGCAACTCAAATAATATTTCATCTACGTAAATTAATGGTAAAATTTTAATTAATATTACTCACCTATTTTATCTGACGAGGCATCTTAGCTATTTTCAACATAAAGCTCAACTCGATCTCAAGACAATTTTTTATTATATTTATTGATTGAAATTTCTATACAGTTTTAAAAAAAAATATTCCAACATCATTTAGAGTGTAAATAATCGACATGTCGTTGGCACACATCGGTCAACAATTGACAATTTATGGTGGCATGTTTATTGTTATTGGTGGAGTAATAGGAAATGGAATGAACATTTTGGTATTTTCAAGTGTTCGTACATATCGTACAGCTCCTTGTACATTTTACTTTCTTATTGCGTCAATCTTCAATATTGCTGTTACAACAATTAATCTTATTTCTCGTATTGTCAGTGCAGGTTTCGGCGTTGATTTAACTCGTTCATCAGTTAGTTGGTGTAAAATTCGACAATTTTGTCTTGTTACTCAAAGCTTAATTACATTAAGTTGTTCATGTTTAGCTACAATTGATCAGTTTTTTATCACATCACAAAGTGCTTCTATTCGCCGTTTGAGTAGTATAAAATGGGCCCATCGTATTGTGTTGATCGTAATCCTTGTGTGGTGTCTTCATGGCATTCCTTATTTATTATTCTACAATATTTTACCAATCATCAAGGCATGTGGAAACACCAATGGTGACCTTGCCGTTTACAATCCGATATATCTTCTTGGTCTTCTCTGTATTACACCAGTGTCAGTAATGGTTGTATTTGGATATCTAACTTATCGTAATATTCATTTGAGAAGAGCTCTTGCTGAACAACAAGCTGATCGTCAGGTGACAAGAATGACTTTGATTCAAGTAATACTTGTTGTTATTTGTATTGTACCATATGGTATTAATATTGCTTATAATGTGGCCACATCTGGAATTAGTAAAGATGCAAATCGATTACTCATAGAAAATTTTGTGCAATCAACAATTACCCTCACATCTTATATTTATTTTGGTGTATGTTTATTCGTTTTTTACTAAATAATTGAGCAAAGATTTTTCTTAAATTATTTTTTTTTAGGGAAGTTGTTATGTGTTTTTGATTTCATCAAGTCGTTTTCGTCGAGTAATAAAAGATCGAATATTGTGTTGGCGAAGATCCAATCAAGTTATTCCAATCCAACAGCCTATCTGCAAAACAGCACCATTAGAAAACAGAACATATAATTAAGAAAAAACTCCATAACTTTGAACATCTGCCATCGTTTCATCTTGTATTTCTTTCTAATCGACATTAAATTAAAATTATATATTGTCATGTCAACTTTGAAGTTAGTGAATGTATTCAGATGACCTACAGACTAAGTTTAATCTGATGATAATGAATGACTGAATTGTACTATGCAAAATGAAGTCAATTCAACTTATATTTTAACAAATAGTAATGTTAAAAGTCACATTTGACTATACTTAATCAAATTATTCAAAGTTTTTCACAGTATCTTTAATTAAGAAACGTTGTCTTTGAATAATATGGAACCCATGTAACCATAAAACGTATTTTTGATGCGTTTAAACGCGTTGCAAAATCTTGCATGCGTTCATAACTGGAAATAATATTAACCTAGACGCGTTTTAATGTCATTGCGTTTACTTTTACATCTGAACACGCTTACCCTATATGCAACTAATGCTTCTGAGTTTCAGTCGTGCATGTAAATGTAGTTTCTTTTTCTGTTTTGCATAGACAAGATGCATTTGAACACAATTCTAGCTGCACGTGCATATAGTGCTATCAATAATGCAGATTACTTCATCACAGTACACGTGACGAGATGTCGAACAGTAAACTGAACTGCGTATTTTTTATTCAAAAAAGCATAAAAATTATATAGCTAATTATATAGACGACGTATTCAAGTCTTATTCCGTTTTGAATTCTTAAAAAGGACTCTTCTTGATAATCTACAATTTAAAATATCAGTGGCTAGCATTACATGAAACAGAATATAAATACAAGTAATTGGATACGAGAAATCTAATCATATTTGTATTCATCATATAAAGTCATGAAGACTTAGTTAGTCTGTGAAATAGAAACAAATGAGTACACGTATCAAATTTTGAAATGTACAGAACATTCATTCGAAAATGATATTACAATAATATTATTTTGTTACATGCCACTACCATCACTTTTTTTTCGCGAAATCAATTTCGCTCTTGCATAGTACATACGTTACAGGTAGCAATTTAAATTTCAAAATAGATAAAATTTAAGTGTTAAGCAAAAATGTTCACTTAAACTCAAACATGAAGTTCAAAGTTAGTTTCTATGTAAACCTATTAGAGATACAAATAGATAAGAAGTAGAAGAAACGAAAGAATCTAGATGTAGCTCAGACACAATGGTAGAGTTGCTTTCATACACAACTTGAAACAGAACTACGTCTGAATGTGGCTAAAAACAACTTAAAATAGCGTCTAAATGCTGTCAGAACACAAAATGCACATTCAGACACTATTGCCATCGTGCATTTAGATGCTTCCACGTGCAACAAATATTTTATCTCGGTTGATTATGAACACATTTATAATACATTTAATGTTTATGTGTTAAAGTCTAAAGTTTTTTTCTGCTTCTTCATATACGAATTCTTACACTATAGAGTCATATATGACAGAAGAAACATAATGCATATAATCATCTACAAAAAACTCAATTCTATAAATTGATTTTCTTCAAGTTTCACTAATTTTTTTCAAAAGTAAATTCTATAAAATTTATCCTCACCTCGTTATGATTAAAAATTTCATTCACAGTAAAAAAGAAAAACAAAAAATTATTACTTAATTTGAATTTATAATTTAAATTAATTTTTTTTTTACTTTAAAAGAACACAAAAGGTAAGATGCTGCATTCATTGAGCATTTATTGAATAAGCAATTAATTATTCAAAAAGTCATTTTTCTCGTATTCTGTGATCCAAAGACTATAGTTATTATTTTTATAAAGTTAATCATATGTAACCGATGTCATGTATGCAGCTTTAAGTGACACTGATAAATTAAAAAATGAAAATATTTCCAAGTTTATATAATTTAATGAAGTAATTACTATAAATTGATCTTTTTCTCTATGAAAAGTCACATGATAATAACAGATTGTAGACATCGTGGTCGAATCTCGTTTGTTGCACTCTATTCAATAACTTAATAATGTATTAAATTGAAATAAAAATATCATGCGACGATGAAAATGGATACATGGGAATTGTTACATGTTTTTCTAGAATTAACTTGCATTATAAAGTCTTAGAAATGTATCATCAAGTAAGAGAGACATATTCTCAGATTGTCTCTATCAAGAATCTTTTCTATGTAACTAGTATGATGAATAGATCACATTGAAAACGTTTTTTTTGTACTCTACATTTGAAGTATTTAATTATTTGACATGAATAACAAGAATTCCACTTTTTTATTAACACTACTTCATAAAAATAGTTCTAATATTTATCTTTCTTGATCTCTTTGAGGGTTATTTTGTTCGTTAAATATTATTTGATAAGGGTGTATTGTCATTGTATCAAAAGTAGAAATTATTCTCTGTGGATCAATCGATATGATTTTAATTTGCAGAAGTCAAAACTATTAGAGTATCCGTATTAATAATCAAATGACTAATAGAATAATTCGAAAAATGAATTTTAACACAATGCCAAGCACCTTAAAAAACCTTGTATCACGAAATAATGAATTATAGTTAAAAAGTTCAATCGAGAATAATAATTAATTATCTAATTCAATGATCTATTCATGTTGTATTCTTGATGCTTTTACAGTAAAAAAATAGAATATCCCAAATGAATAATATTTATTTTTATCATGTAAAATTTAAAAAATTGAATAGCAAAGAATATGTCATTATCACAATATTGTCTATCATACGATTTAAATCAGTATCAAAATAGAAATTCAATGCATCAAAAATTATGATTAGATTAAAACGTAATATCATGTCTGTTCTATCTAATAATCAAATATTCTACAAAAAGTGATAAAAAATTCATCACCTAAATTGATAATCTGAACGTATATCGCAAAAATTTGAATATACGGTACAAGATAGTTTAACCATGATATTTAAATTGTCAATGATATATTTTTTTCTCAAAGAATCATTTTAAATACCCAGGTTCAGCGTTACGGACTCCATATACGGTCAAAAACAACCATATACGACGCTCTATACGGTCATATACGACCGTATTTTTCCGTACACGGATGTGTGGGTGTGGGTATGTGGGAGTGTGAGGGTATGGGTGTGAGATGTGGGTGTTGGGTGTTGGGTGAGTGTTGGGCTGTGGGTGTGGGTGGGCGTGGGTGTGTAGATGTGGGTGTGGGTGTGTGTGCGTAGGTGTGGGTGTGGGTGTGGGTGGGATGTGGGTGTGGGTGGGCGTGGGTGTGTAGATGTGGGTGTGGGTGTGCGTGTGTAGGTGTGGGTGTGGGTGTGGGCGGGATGTGGGTGTGGGGAGTCTCTAAATCTTAGACCAAATTCACACTCACACCCACACCCACACCTACACCCACCCTTATTTCTCTAATGTTGAACAATCTCCCTTTTAAGCCCTACAGATTTGATTCTTGTTTCGTTTTACATATCCTATTAATTTAGTATATCGTTAGTTCGGTGAAATCTCAATTTTGCCATGGGATATCTCAATATGATCGATGTTCGCTAAATAGTGCATGTGCCTGTTTTCATATAGCAGGTTCTATTGACATTGGTATTTGTGGCGATGGATTCGTCGATTGTTCTGATCTAGTTACATGCGAACGCTCAAACAACCTATGTCGTGACTCTAACCCAAGGGGAAAAAAACGGAATCCTGGAATCCTGGAATTCTGTGGAATCTTGCGGAATCACAAGGAATTCTGTGGAATCACACGGAATCATGGAATCCAATGGAATCCGATGGAATCCAAAGGAATCCAATGGAATCCAGTAGAATCCAATGGAATCGAGTAGAATTCAATGGAATCCGATAGAATCCAATGGAATCCAATGGAATCCGATGGAATCGAATGGAGTCCAATAGAATCCGATGGAATCCTATAGAACGTTGGAATCTTTAATCCAAAAGCCCGTAGAAATAGTACTGTTGCAGGAAAATCTGTTTAAATACATGAAC